AAAGCGGTATGTGGACGTAGAAGACATCCAAAGGGCTTGTACCACTATTCTGAAGGACGTGCCTTTGAACGACATAAAACACTCATTTGAAATGCTTTTAGATCGTGCCAAACGTTGTATTGAGTCCGACGGGGACTACTTTGAATAAACAATTTGAATTTGAAAAAAAAAGTAAACCGTACCGTAAACAAGTACCGTTGTTGTTTTATTTCAAAAGTTCGGAAAATTTTGGAACGCACCTTGTATATCAAAATTGCTATTAAAACTTTCAGGAGTGATATTAATACTGTATGATGAATGAATTTTGTCAGGATTCATGATTTTAGTTGAAACTGTATTCAATTTTAAAGGTGCACAGGAAGTATCACAATTCATCTCAGAGGTCACACATTTCGTAATATTATAATTAATACGTTTTATATTCGCAATTTCTTGGCGAATGTATTTAGCCCGCAAATTAGAGATTTTTTTACCGATTCTAACTTGTTCCTTTTGCCACATAATGTCAAAGTTAAATTCCTGTCTTCGAAAGAAAGAATAAGATATATTATTCGGTAGAATTTTTTCAATTTTTCTGCACATGTTGAATAATTCCGATTTTGTTTGCCCAAGATGTTTATAGGCGTCTTGTAATTCTACTCTTAAATATTTAAAAATAAAATTATATTTAAGTTTATCAATTCGTTTATCGATTGTGGCCGAAACGTTTAATGTTTTAATGAATGTAATAATAATTAAATATCACAAACTATAACTTGTGCTGTGGTTTTTTATGCTCTTATTTTTTATATGTGTAAATATATTAAAATTTTCAACATTTTAAAAAAAATTTTACACAGGCGACTAATAATCTCCTATTTACTAGTGACCTATTACTGAAGCTACATTGAACGCGCATGCGTCTGAAACTCGATCCGTTTAACACACTGCTCTGACGTATATCTGTATATGCGCACACAGCATTACTATTTTAACAGGTTAACCTATTTAACAATATTAAAATCACCAAATACTTATTTTTATAATCCAATTATTATAAATTATTCTAATTTGTAAGAAATTGAATAAAATCGCATCTTTTATACACGTTTATTAATATTCAATTGTCTTTCCAATATCTTTATTTGAACTCTTTCTTCCAAAAGAAACAAAATTTTTCGCTATGAGATCACACCACTTTCATAAAGTTATACGTTTAGCATGTGAATAGAGATGTTGAAAACACAGCTGCATTCCTTTGGGTATATTCGTGACGCATACGCAGAATTATCATATAATTTCGCGGTCCATTTCACAGCTTGTCCTAAGGAGTTAGCAGTCTAGTATATATAGAAGTCTGTGGTTTAGGAGCAGGTGGTTTAGGAGCACCATTTTGGACTATTCTGTTTTCTGTTCCTGCTACTAGACTAAGCTACTAGATTAGTTCTAAAACTCTCTTTCTCGCTTTAAACAAATATCAATCTTTAAACGTATATCTATCTCACTGTAAGGACTGCGGAATAGAGAATGTCATTGAAACAACCAATTAGCACTATTCGGAATAACACAAGAACGCTGATTGGTTGCTTGTATGACGCAGTTCCCTATTCCGCGGTCGTTTTCCGCACTGTGATTTCACCCTAAGTTCCAAAAGTACACTAGTTCAGCCACAGAAAACTGACCTCTTATATCGTGATTTTGACCACACTTTTCAAAGCCTAGTTCGGCCTCCTATTCTCTATATTCCATGGTTTCGGAATTGTTTAAAGTGCGAACGATTAGAGACGATTCGGATCAATAGCTACTGGTCGTATTATTTCCATTCAACATGGGGATGGGAGGCAGGAGCCACTAACCAAGAAGAAGAAGGATCAATAGCTACGTAAGCTACATTATGCTACATCAGTTGCATTCAGCAAAACAACAAGTTTTGCAAACCGTCTTGTGATTGTCTACTGAGATAGGATTATTTTTCTAGATAAAAAATCTAATCCAATCAGCGCGAAGAAACATCCCACAGTTGCAAAATAAACGTTCTGCTGAAACCATTGTATTACGTTCCAATTACTGTAATCGCGGAATGTCAGTGATAATGACAGCCAAGCTTCAAGACGATATGAATAGTATACCTCTGGCAGATGATGATCCGCAAGGTGAGAGCATAGAGCATACAGTCTCTGATTTCGCTTGTCCTTTTGACATCGCTATTTCTCCCCCTCCCTCCCTCTCTCTCTCTCTCTCTCTCTCTCTCTCTCTCTCTCTCTATCTCTTTATGTTTCATTGACAGATGAAATTATAACTTAACTCATCTATAGCAGTCTAAATCATTTATTCCAATGTCTTTGTTCCGAATATTATTTAACAATGTTATTAATTTATGACTAAATTTGCTAACTTAATCTGCCTGCTTCTTATTTTTGTTTATTTACATATATTGTTTTTATTAATAATATGAGTATTAAATTAGCTGCATCTAAACTATAGCAATGTAACATCTATTCCATTTCTCGGAATTTAATATAGAAATCGAGATAATAGAAATGTAAAGACATAAAAATATGAGATATTGGAATTTTTGATTATTTATCTCACAAATTATTTTGCTTAAAATTTCTTAAATATTTTTTACATTTTATGCATTTGACAATTTGCTTGTACTTTGATAATAATGAGCTTCTTTTTTTTATCTCGATTGTTGGGGTTTAATATTTTACTCTAATATTATTTTTTGCATATGTTATTATAGTAATAATACCAGAAGAGGAAATCTTGGACAATGCCTCACATATGTCTGATCCGTTAGGCAGAGGACGCAGCATGGATTCTATACCATCAACATTTACTAATGGCAGCTGTAGTCCTAACAGTAAGTGATATTATTGATTCGTTCTTTCATTATAGTTTGTTTTTGTATTGTTCTTTCATTGTAATATGTTTTTGTATTGTTTGTCTTTTTCCAACTAAATATATAAAGGAATATTAACTTATTTTGTATTTATAAATTGAACAAAATAACATTAAATATGCAATATTTCAACTTCTATTATTAGATTATTATATATAGTTAAATAAAAATTTGCTTTTGTAAATGATTGTAATACTGTTAAATTGTGTGTGAAATATTTTATAAAATGATTTATATTTATTATAGGTTTAGATCCTGATATTAACCCAGACGAGCAAGAAGAGAAAGCTAGATTGATTGCACAGGTTCTCGAATTGCAAAATACTTTGGATGGTAGATATATATTTCACTAAAGATTAAGGTTACAGGAGAATATCCCTATTGACATTTTTGTAATGTGTAAATGTATATGTTCTATCTAGATCTGTCACAGAGAGTGGACAGTGTAAAAGAAGAGAATCTCAAGCTGAGAAGTGAAAATCAGGTTCTGAGCCAGTACATTGAGAATTTAATGTCGGCATCGAGCGTATTTCAGTCGACAAGTCCCAATACTAAAAAGAAGTAAACCATATTAATCAAATAATTAGACAATTTATGAAAATAAACTACAGTGATTTTGAAGTAATTGCGATTATTTTGAGTATTTTGAAAAGTTTCCGCATGCATAAATTTTATTTCGATTTACATTTATCAAAAGATAACGTCAAATTTTTTAAAATCTCAATATTTGATGCTTAATTTGCCTTCGTCAGCTTGTATACACTTTCTATGAAAAAAGGTTTTTTCTGACAATTTACCTTTTTTTTTAAATATGTAACACTACAATGTATTCTGTGACTGTGTGACTTGAACACGCTTATAATCATGATTGTATGCGCCAAAGAGATCTATTTTATACTTTTACAATTTTTATAAACGTATTTCGCTAATTTTTTAGATAATTGTTTGTTAAGTAAAGATTATAATTATTTTACTGCAATTTTTTGCTTAATTTTCTTTAAATTAAGATTAGGTTATTTTCTATTAAAGTTATTTTCTATTAAATTTATGCACATAACAGTACTAATAAATATTTGTTAACTTATATATATAATAACGTGATATTTAGTTCACTGTGTGTGTATTTGAAGTAGATATATATGAAGCCAAGTAGAAATATTTCTAAATAATTTAATTTTTTTTATATTTTTGTATACATTTAATGTACACTCTTAATTTTAATTAATAAATTTTTTTATACAATTATAATTACAATTACGAATTCATCTCTCTTTCATACATTTGCTTCTCACATTCGTATATAGTTTTCAAAGATATTTTATATTTGCAAAGCTGGGTATCAAAACGTTCGAAACCATACATATTTTTCATTGGGGTATTTGCTTCTTTAATAGAAAATTCTTGCTTGCAACATTTTGACATATTTATATATATGCATTATATATAGATATATAAGAGATAATATATAAGAATGTACAATTTTTTTAAATACGCACTATAATTGATGTATTGACAAAAAGCTAATATTTATGCATATGATATAAGCAAAATAATCATAACTTCTGCTCTTTACGAAATGAGTTTCAAGTACATAATAATCATCGTACGTAAACAATCATCTTACTTAATGATTTGATGTATTGATTGATATGTAATAACAAATATGAATAAGAAATTTCAACTTGCAATAGTTTTAGTTTAAATAGCACAAAAAGAAGCACAATCCCAAATTTGAGTATCCTATTATGTTGAGTAACACAGTGTTATGTTATTAATAAATATTATATTCTATTGGAACATTACTGTTCGATGATTATCGATTCTTCTGAATGTTTCTCTTCTTTATCATACAACATTGTTGCAGCTCATAGAACATTCCTTCATCACTGTTCTAAATTTCTTTCACAGAAAGACAGAGGACAGCTAGAGAGGACAGAAAGTTTACATAACGAATGAATTATCGAAAATAAGAGGCATACTTTGTAAAGCGTGTTTGTATTGAAAAAGTTCCAGATTAATCAATTAATCCTCTTGGATAGCCGAAAATTGTATAGCCTTTTGTCCCCAAAATGTTTTCGACCCAAGCTTTACTCGTCCATTTTTCTTTATTCCTATCCACCATCCATATTGCACGTATTTACGTGATCTGAACGCGTCATGGGAACCAATGCTCCATTGTTCCCATTCGGTGTTTTCATTAGTCATATTTATCTAAAATCAAAATTAAATAAATTAAATTTACAATCAATCTCGACCATCTTTTTAAGATTATTATTAATGAACTTCCTGTTGAAAGAGAAAATTTATTGACTAAATTTATTAACGGTTAAACAAAATTTGTTTTTAAGCTTAAATGAAATTCACTTTTTAATAATTTTACAACTATAATATACGTGCATGCGTGCGTGTACTTTTAATTACGAATTTAAGCCAATTTTAAGACATATATTTAGAAGTATTTTATTAAATATTACTTACATAGAATTAAATTAGAGAAATTATTGTAAGAATTATAGAACGTTGCGAAAAGATCGCAAAAGAATTTCACGTAGAACTTCATGTGGAATTTTATAGAATGCTCTATATATATATATATATAATTTTACAGATGTGAGTATAGTACAATTAGTAACTATATTAGTAACTATTATGCTATACTGTTCTACATTTTTTTCATTGTAAGAGCTTCTTTCTCGTAATATAATGAAAATTTGCAGGGAGGATTTACTCGTATGTTTTTTCATTTTTATAGTTTCGTATTTTCTTTTGGCATCTTACCTCTCCGTACAATCGCCCTTTCTTGTTGAATGCCAAATATAGCCTTGTTTCGATGCTTTGTATTCTGATAACGCCAAAAGATACCGGTGATGCGTAAAGCAGATCTGCAAGGGTATATAAGCTTTTGTGTGTGTGATAAAAATCTTTCTTAATGGTGATCATATATGTAAATCGTTATTGTAAATACATATATAACATATACATATATTGCAAACGTTTTTTTATTTTACTTGACTCAGTATTTAACAATTAAGTGTGATGGAAATATACCATATGGCTCCTTGTTTCCGGATAATCCTTCCACTCGTCCCGATGATGTAATTGCTAGATGATATCCGGTGCGACAGTACAACTTAATTATCCGGCAATTATAGATAGGATTTTTTGCTGGTTGTCGTGGATCCCATATTACGTAAGGTGGGTACTTGCGTGATTTGCAGTTACGTTCAATGTTGCGTGGCGTTCTATAATTGCAATCAAATAGTCCATGGATTATCGACGTATATATCGTTACATATTATATGTAAAGTGAGCAGAAATAAACATGTGAATTTCTAACGAAAAGTTCGAATTTTTGTCAAAGCATATAAAGCCTCAAAAATATCATAACGAATTAATTTCACTAATATTAATACAGGACATTTAACGCATTTTGAAAAATATTCTTTTATACACGCGAATTATTATCTAAATTTTAATGAAAATATTAACAATAATTATGTCTCTCATCAATAATTAACTTAAAGTAAAAGTAATACTTAACTTAAAGTAAATGCTAAATTAATTTTGACAACATTTTATTTCTATTGTGAACGATAAATTAATATTTTGTTGTTTCAATATTATGCATTTTTTATACAAATACATATTTTAGTAGTATATATTTCTTGATATATTTCTCTGAGAACGTACTATATTTCTTAAGCCATTGGACGTTAAGGTTTCCTTTGTCATTATAAAGGTTGTTTGTACATTTATACACGCTGCAAAATTTATAGGCCAATTTTTCCAGGTCAGTAAGCCCCGTGAATAAAGCACACCATGCGATATTGTAGGCGTTCTCGCGTACTTTGTTAATTTTAAACCGATTCTCGGGGGAGAGGAAACGAAATGTCAATAGGCTTTGTTCGAGATAATAGTTCCGCGACAGTCACCATTAGACATACGTTATAATACATTAATTTTACATGGTTTCAATGATGTAGTCATGCGATATTTACAATAATATTATATGTAGATAAAATTAATTTCTATGTAAAAATATTGAAAAGTGTTTATACATTTTAGAAGAAATTATCAAATAATTTGTTTTCCAATAGTAATTTTTCTTTTTTTTTTTTAAATGAACTGTATCCTTTTCCTCTTTTTTTTCTTTATAGAAATTTCTTTACAGAAAAAAGATTTCACTTGTAAAAGGCACATGTTAATTTGATGCATGATTTTTCTTTATATATATATATATATACTTTGCTTTTGTTTAAAAAAATTTGTATTTATATTTATATTTTTTATATATATTATATCGCGAAATATCACGAAAGAGATACTTTTTATTCAACATATCTTCATCGTCAAGTTATTTTATTTCCGTCCTATAAGCATAAACTATGAATATATAATTGCTACATAAAGATGTAAAATGATATATATATTTAAATCTATTTATGTTAAATCTATTTGCTGGGGTGCAGCCTGCGATTATGTGTAATTTTTTTAAATAGTTTCAATGAACTATCGAAACGACTACAGAAAATAACAACTATGGATATTATAGATTAATGTCTACACTGAGAAAAATGCCTGATTCGGCTAATTGAAATTTTGATTGGAAATGGACGAATTAGAATTTGCTGCGGTTAAATTTTAAAATTCTAATTGTTATAATCGGAATTTTGATTAGTATTAATCAGAATTTTCTGATTCGTCCATTTTTATCCAAACATTTTTCTCAATGTATTATTTTCTTAATATTCAACTTACTAATTCTTTAAATATTATATTCAACTTAACTAATTAAAGCTCTTTCTTCGCGTAAAGTAAAATCTTTCTTTCACACAGGAAAGAATGTTACAAATTAGATAATTTTTTCCTGTTCTCACAAATTCAAACGAAATTTTATTTCTATCGCAAATGTGACATGCATATATAGCTGTCACATATGAAATTGTAGACGCCTCACGACGTGAGCTCGTTTGACACCGTTAATAAAACTACATGTGCACCTCCTGACCCTGTGGTGATATAGAGCAGAAAGTTAATCGAGTCAAGTGATCAATGAATATACGTTATAACATGTGCTGGAGAGAGGACGATTAGGTAGACAGACGCATTCGCTGTAGTTCTGCAGTGACAGAAGCAGACATTTTATATATATACATATATACCCTACCTTGTTCCAGAAATTAAATATATTAAATCATTTATTTACGTGAATTACACATTTCACCGCCACTAGAACGTTCATACATGAAATACAAACAAAATAGCCAATAATTTATTCTTTTTTTTTTTCACAAATTAGCCGAATTTTTCATTTTATTTTGAAAGATTATTTTTATAATAATATAATATCCCTTATGAAAAAATACACCCAACTAAGTGTTAGCGATCCGAAATGATATTTAAATTGAGTGTTAACTCCCACATAAACCTTCAACTTGAGGATTAACACTCAATTTGAATGTCCACCATGCAAGCAATTCTCAAGTAGAACACAGAAATCATGAGGAGAATGAATGAGGACATCATCATGACCTCATTCATCATTTATAAGTCAATTTTTAGGTATCAAATGACGTCATGATGACGTGTAATTTAATTATGACTTAATTATAACTCCGTGTTTTACCTGGGTTATAACATTATAACGCCTATATTTTTTAGTAAGGGACTATACTCTTAAATACAAACTGGAGGCCATTATAATCACGTGTTTCGCACTTAATTGACACATATATTCTTATGATTTAATTAAATATCCGGATGATTATACCCATTCCCGTCGAACGTAACGGTCGAAGTCGGGGCTCTTCTGGTTTCCCTCTTCTTTCGGCTATCGCGAGCGATATCTTTTTCATTCTTCACCACATCCGCCTCCTGGAGGAACAATTCCGTGTCGCAGCTATCGTCGCTGCAACTGTCGTCGATATCGCTGCACTCCTCGTCACACGTAGGCGCTTTTAGATTCTCATGAATCCAGCGCAAACTCATTTTTGCAATTTCCCTTCTGCTGCATAAATTCATAAATTTACCCATTTTCATATCGTAATATTAAATATGTGGCTATCTAATTTATCAATTTATTTCGCTAACGCGAAACCTGCATTTGTTGTCACAAAGAATTGCACTTTACGCTATATATATATGTGGATCTCTTAAAAGCATACATTTATGAGCTATTAAATCATATTTTTACCTATACTGCAAAAAACAATTCATAAAATTAAAATAATAACTTCTTAATGCTATAAAATTGCATCTTTTTGAATTTTAAAAGTGACGAGAGTAACAATATTATATTTGAAAAAGCAGTTTTTTAATTATTTGCGATATATATATTTTGTATATATTTGAAAACTATCATACATCAATTTATCAAGTTGCACTTGATATTTTAGTCTAGAAGTTGTCTAATAGAAGTCTAATTTTATTTGCAGTACCATATATGTTTTATTTTGCTGTTCAACTTTTTCGATTATTTTTATATTAAATATTTTTATATATTAAATATAAAAAAAAATATTTTTATATTAAATAACATTCTATGGTAAAATTTATATAAAATTTATATTTTACTTTATCTTAACTTTTTTTCGTAAGGCTTATAAATAGAATTTAAACATTACAATTATTATTTATATCTTCTAGCTGCCGGGAAAATATCAAGATAACTCTTCCTAAAACAGCATTATTATTCTCATATTTTATCGAGAAAAACAGTAAGATGAAATCTATTCACAAAATGTTCTATTCACAAAACACACGTGCAAAACACTTCATTTGGGAAAAAATATGTACTATAGTGTTCGATTTAACGGTAGTCTCGGTCTGCTACCAGCAGCCATGACTCGACTATCGAGAGTAAGTATGTAGATATAATTGCATATCGGGATTCATTTACGCACTTATCAATCTGATATTAAGCTAATTCAATAAAAACAGAAGCACGTCGCGCGAGTCAAAC